TGAACGACGAGCACACTCCAATCCTCTGACTAAGAGGTTCACAAAAAAGATAGGTCACATGTTTGGTGACTGGCAAGCTCAGGTTATAAGAATGAGATTTTCAAATGAAATGTCAGCGAACGGGTCTACACTTAGAATTCTCAGAATCTGTGTGAATTAATTATCCTTGGAGATATCTATGCTCAATCCTATGTCAAGTATTATACCACCCAAGTCAACGGTACCAGGTATTGCATGCAATCAAAGATGTAGGCAAGCATCAATTGGTTCTGTGTTTTTATTCTGTTCATTCAAAGTTTAGTGTCTGCACGTTCACGATAGCATGAATACAGGCAGTACCCGTACGCAAGCTTAAAAGTCGTACAAAAGGTCTATGAAAAACTAGGAAAACATGGTTTGTCAGGGTTGATGAAAAAGCACTTTTAGGTAATTCAGGTAAGTACAATTAAAAGAATGAGAAGGGTAAAACTACGCTGGTGTAAGCTGAACTGAGTGTGGTTGAGTGGGTTTGATAAGGTTTAGTACATTGGCTTGATGCCCAAATCGATCGACTCAGGTGACAAGCATCATAAGAAAGTTCACGTACGTATGCAAAAAGCACAGTTGGGCCAACCGAAGAATTGAAAATATTCGTCCTCGTCTTCCCTAGTGCGCCATGTGAACAATTTCTCGTTAGGGCCATTTCAAGGCGAGAGATTACAAAAGTGCCCTATGATTACACAGCTCTGGCTGTTTAAACTGACCGCTTCAACCGGCTGCACACGGCGTATCCTCAGCCCTTTCCGTATAGTAAATCAGACCTTGAAATAGTTCTTGCTCAGAGTCTGAAACTCAATTTGAACCATATGTTCCACGATGTGACTGGTGATACTCCCGACTGAGTCTGTCCGCAGTAACTTTCGCGTTGCTTAGCTTTATGTAATTATAAATGGCTGGTGATATGTCTGATGTACTTAGCATCACAGGTTCAAGTTAATTGATATGCGATTGTTCAATCCGGAACTGATCCTTAGTCCGTCTTTAAGAGGTAGAGCAAAAAGAATGTGCGGGGTACAGTCAGATAGGTTCTGGCTACTGCAGTGGAAACACTTCTGTTCAGGAAATCATGCGAATGTTTTGCTTCAGCAGTTGACGCAACTGTGTTTTATTCATTATTCAATATATATATATATATATACCTTTACCAAGTACAATAAAATTTGCTGAGTGCCATAACACATAAGAGGAAAAGATAGATTGATAGAGAAAACAAGTGTTAGGGTAGAAGAAGTTCCCATCAAGTGAGCCATTGCGTGCGGTTCTTGACCATATTCTCTAGCGTTTGCAACCAGATGCGCTCAGGGTCCTTTGGTCCTCAACCCAGGAGTCGGGAACGCCAAACAACAGTCAGCTTCAACGGTTGCGCCTTAAAGCGTTGGATTCAAGTTTTACACTACCCGCCTTATCGTCGCTTCCACCCCCGCCTGTGCTCGCAAATAGGACCCGTTGTGATAGCTGCTGTGTAGATACGCACAGCACATGTCCAAGCCAGTGAGGTCTCCGCAGTGAAATGATGCTAGCAATCGGTAGGCGAAGTTCGTTAGATTTGAAGACTCGCCGACGGACCTCCTCATTACTGATGTGTTGATGCCATCGAACACCAACAATGCTTCGCAGGTAGCGGTGATCGAAGACAGATAGCCGATGAACACCGTTTTTGCGAACGAGACAAGTCTTACAGCCATACAGCAGAATCGTTCATACCGGAGCATTTTAGACTCGTCCTTTGAGAGCAAGGCTGAGGTCACGACGAACCCACAGGTGACGAAGGATAGCGAAAGCGACTCTAGCCTTGCAGACACGCAGGGAGATCATATCTGTCAACCCGCCAATACTAAGACAACTCCCAAGATAGATGAATTTGCCGGCCACTTCCAGCGAATGTCCCGAAAGAGTGAGAGAAGGACAAGCACTTGGCCAGTGCTGTAACAGGGCCCTACATATGGAAGGGGTAAAGGTCAACACAATTCGGGAGGCGGACATCACCCAGTCTAAGCAGCACATGCTGGGCGGCTTGGGAGGACTCACAAATCACAGCGATATCATCGGCGTACTCTAAGTCCAAAAGGCGGTCTCCAGGGATCCGTTTAAGACCGCAGGACTCAGAGTTTTCCAGGGTAGTATCCAGGATCTCGTCCATGGCATTGTTGACAAGAATGTAGAGGCTGGGCAACCCTTTCTAAAACCCCTAGTGATAATGAAAAGGGGGCGATATGTCTCCGAATGCTCGCACGCCGCCAGAAGTCGGCTGGTAAATGGCAGGTACTACCATCTTCAGTAAACAGTCCCAAAGAGCCACTCTTTCAACAGAGACAAAAGCGGCTCGCAGGTGTGCAATGTTTGTGAAAATCGATGGGTTGGAAGAACAGTCGATGAGAGCTGTTGATATAAATGTAAAGGAAAAGACAATGGTAATCGATTCTGGAACAAGTGGGCTAGCCATTGTTGTTGTCACAAAACGTACAATCTCTGTTGTTCCTGACGAGATATCATACTTAGCAAGAATTCATCTGGTAAGCGCAAGTACATATTAGGCAATTTACCATCAGCAAGCATTGATGAGTTTATGTGATATCTAGTGAAGAACCACTAGCAGTGGTGTAACTTCAAAGCATTGATACGAAGTACTGATGCACCGTTAATAACTTGCATAACAGGCTTCCTATTGCTGGGTTGTAACTAAATTTTTTATAGTCACTTACAATGAAGCCGCATTCGTTGAAGGAGATTTCACGTAAGAAGACTTGTAGACTATTTTTAGTGCCCCATGCTGAGGCTGATGTTGCATTCTTGATGCTTCTTCACCGCAGTTGGGCTAAACCAACTTACACTTAAACTAGGTCTTTTTAAGCTGGCTAAATTTCATTCCACTTTATTTGGTTTGTTCTGCCTCCCTGAGTAATGTTCTATTAACTGGCCACGTTGCCTACATTATTTGGACTTATGTTCGATAACTTTGTTGCGTTTGTAGCATTTTTAACTAACTTGCGGACATTTTTTCCTTATCGCGTATTCGTTGCTAACCAACTTACTTCATATGCTAATTTAGCAAAGTGTTGTGCCACTGTATCTGTTTGCATTATTGGATTTGTTTTATTTCAGGTTGTCGTTTAAAGTGAATGGCTGTTGCTTGATATCCCCGGTGTGGCTGCGCTTGATGTGCATGTTGACAAGGTGCCTACCTGTCTATTACCCACTACCTCGTTCATACTGGCTCCAGGAGACAGTTGGTCGTTGCTGGAGGGGACGGGGTTCTCGGTCCTTGTGGCCGTGCTAGGCGCAAAGAGCGGTTCCATGCACTCAGTGTGCAGCGGACTACGATCCAGCCACCGCCTTGTGTGCGCTTGATTTCCCAAATACAGCGTGCTTGTGTTTGCCTGTGAAGGAGTGTGGGTCGGCTCCGTTGATGAAACGTGGCTCCCATCCACATACCTCCCGGTCTTATTCCTTCGGGTTTACACTGAATATGGGGTGTGCAAATGGAGCTGTGGGTGTTGCAGCGCAAGCCACCCATAGTCCTTCTGTAGGCGCAGGCGTCCTGTGGCTGGCCACAGTGACAGGCAAATCCGAAACCGGATGCCGCCAACCAGACAATATTTAACAGTGTGCAGAGCGTGATTACACATTTCGTTTCAAATCAAAGTTAAATTCGGCCTCAGATATGAGCTAAAAACTCAAACAGAAAATGCGTTGCAGTGGGCCCATCATCGGGCGTTTGAGGATTAAGGACACTGTGTGGTCATTCTCGCCACAGTAGAATCGATTTGGCAACCAGTGGATTTCAAGTCCGACATCCAAAACGTTCGGTCACGGACTTAACAACAATTTCGTCATTTTAGAAGTTGTGGATGACAAAAAGAATGTTAAAGATGGCAGTTGAAAACAAGCGGGTACATTAGGTAATTTTTTCAAAGTATATTAAAGTTCCACAGTACCCAACGTCAATCTAAGTGTATCTGCACCGACGAACACTTGTTAATATGAACGACTAGCAAAGTAAACCAAAAGGATAATTAAGGAATATATGAAGTTACGGTGATAAACATATCAGTGAAACAAACTAGATGATCAACAGTATCTAATGTAAACCGTATCTTGGTTGCGCAACGGGAGAACACCTCTACGAGCGTTTATCCCCCTATGAGCATAATGATACTCCGTACGAATCAGACGATAACCGCGGTCTGGGGTGACCATTGTCTTTCATCAGGCAATGCGGGTGTACTTTGCATGTGTATGCATTTTCGCCTGAGCTTTTAGGAAATTGAATTATGCAACTAAACCGGATGCAATAACGAGCAATTTTATTAGTTCAACTAAATGCAGCTTTGGCTTTCGCCACTTATCACAATTAGTTCGTTCTTACAATTTATTTGTTCAGACGAATTGGCGTAAGGAGCACGTTCGCAATTGTTACGCTATTATATCATAATGGATATAGCTTATGCGATAATACGAAATTTCCATTAAAGCAAGAGAATATTCATATATATTCTGGTTGCAATATACCGTTCCCTTATACATATTACATCGTTGTTAACCTGCTTACCGAGCTTGGTAAGTTATTTACAGACGTTTTATCGCTAATCGTGATCAGAGCATCGATGCAGAGGTAACTGTACCTCGATCGCGAATAATCGCACAGGTACTCAGAAACATTTTAAATTTATAATTGTAGTTAATACATTATTACAACAGATGTCTATATATAATTTCATTGCGGGGTATAACATAAACAATTAGGTATGAGAGCCGAAATAAAATCCTGTTAGAAAATGCAATGTGCAGTGGTTTAAGTCACTTGCACAGGTTTTATCCCAGCAGAAGTGTGTAAGTGCAAGATTATGCTTCCTTTAGTAATGCATAGAAGAGTTCTCGCGTATGCAAATGTATAATTATATAAGTGTATAACTGAAAAAGGTAACGATGTGCAGTGCGGACAAAATGTTACTAAAACTCACCACTCCACCTTCTGATGGAGTAAGCTGACTGTACACTCCAGTGCAAGTGACATCCGTCAGCGTACGTCTTGGGCCTTCAGACACTGTAGGAAAGTCACGCTTGCAGTTATTGGAAAAATAAGCGTAGCGCTTCCAGCTGCGCCCAAAGTCATATGAGCGTTCCAGATACATCGCTGCTGGACGGTATGTTTTAAAGCGAAGGATAGTCGAAATAAATTGAAACTGCGTGTCCAGATTAAGAACGATAGAGACATTGTGTATTCCGTTTTCAGACTGCCACCTGTGAAGTAACACAAGACCAAAAAGAGATGTGCTAGGTGACTTTATATGGACACAATGCAGGATGGCTTTACTATGAAAAAATGCGAGCAGCTACCGCTAGTTAAATGAGGACCGTTCACGGTTATATTTCAAAAACCAAAATGCTCATCTAACATGGAATGATGTTATAAAAAAGGAGAATCTTATGGTTTAGAATTCTATAAGCCATTAAGATAGACGCATAGTATGAGTGATACTATAATCCACGTTGTGCAATTGTTGCTTTGGCACACTTTTTCTCAATGTTATAATGAACAAAGATTCCAATGTCTATAAGTATGGAAAAACTAGTAACAAAAACAAAGTCAGCACGTGAATGCAAATATTTCCTGCTCCTGTTCTTTCACTTATACACACTTTACACGTTAGCTGGAGGTGGGAAACGCCTCAGTTACTGTGCCGCAATACATAAAAGAAAAGAAGGGAATAAAATGATACAGGTGCAAGCCAGCTGAGCTACCGGTAACGAATGGGCATCGTTCCCTTAAGCTATCTGCCGGCTACTATACAGCAAAAAAAGTAAGTTCCTATGCAAAATTATAAAATGTTAAACCAGGAGATCGTGCTTGGAGGAGGAGGCTCAGAGGGATGGGGTGGGACAAAAAATCACAGCACGAACGCCACTGAGGTCGGCTCCTAGCCATATCAACAAGTGTATCCAGCCAAACGTGTTCCCCGTCTTTCGGACCCCAACCAGGGAGCCGAGACGCTCCAAATGAGGCCACCTTCGAAGTTAGGGCCTTCACTCCTTTCGAGCAAGTCATCGGTTGGCCACCTCTCCTCTTCTTCGATCCACACCCCCGGAGCGCAAACAACGCACGTCGCGGGAGTCGGTGGGTTGGCATGCGTAACACGTGGACAAATCATCGGAGCCTGGTGTGGGAAATAACCGTGCTGAGCGGTTCATTTCCATTTCCTGTGTCGTAAACAAGGAGTCGAACATGCTCGTTGCTCACGCGGTATTCCCACCAGATGTGAGCTAAATTGCGAAGGCACCGGTGGTCGAACGTAACTAGCCTCTTTATGTCCGTTGATCTGAGGGACCAGGTTTCACAACCGTACAATAGGGTCGAACGTACTGCTGCATTGTACACTCTACCCTTCAGGGCGAGAGTGATGTCGCGCCGGCGCTATAAGTGACGAAGGTTAGCAAAAGCGCCTCGAGCTTTTGCTATACGGTTCGTAATCTCATCTTCAATCCCACAGGCGCTGATACAACTTCTCAGGCAGTTGAATTTTGAACGACTTCTAGCTGATCCCCACCAAGGGTCAGAGAAGGAGGCGGTCCATACCAATCTTGGAGAAACGCTTTGCACTCCGAGGGTGCGAAGCAAAGCCCGAAGTGGCTGATAGCCAGTGCTAATCTATCCAGTGCCGCTCGGCATGTCTGGGAGCTGTCACAGATTAGGGCAATGTCGTCTGCATATTCCAGGTCAAGAAGTCGTTCTGCTGGGAGCAGATCCACACCTTCTAATTCGTGTCCTGTGAACGCGATTTCCAAGATTTTGTCAATAGCGAAGTTGAAGAGGAAAGGTGACAGTGGGCACCCTTGTCTTACACTGCTGGAGACATTGAAGGGTGGCGACAGCTTGCCGTAAACCCTCACTCTGCCTGAGCTACGCTCGTATAATGCTCGGATAATATTTACATATTTCTCAGGTACACCTTTCCTTAGTAGACAGTCCCAAAGTGCATGTCTATCCACCAAACCGAATGCACCGTTGATATCGAGGAACACGACAACAGTGGGCAGCCAATATGTGTGACGGTGCTCCAACAACTGACGCAAAGTGAAGATGTGGTCAATGCAGCTACGACCTCGACGAGAACCGGCTTACTCTTCACGAATCTGGCTTTCACGAGTGCCAGTCAGTCTGTGAAGGATGACAGAGGTAAGCAATTTGGAGGCGATGGAGATCAGACTGATTCCTCTGTGGTTACCGCATCCCGATCGTGAGCCTCCCTTGAAAATTGGGGCTATGACGGAGCGGCTTCAGTCGGTTGGGACAGTTTTCTGCTCCCACAGTTGCACTAGTAACTCGTATAAGTCCTCCATAACAGCAGAACCTCTAATTTGAAGAGGGCTGGAGGTAGATCATTTGGTCCCGCGGCTTTATTTAACTTCAACAATGCGATCTCACGTTCGACTTACGAGCGAGAGGGCGGATCCAAAGGGACAGCCCACGGAGCGGGGCGATCAGTGGCCGGCGAGAAATCTAACAATTCCGACCGACTAAACTGCTTTTCGAAGTGCTCAGCCCAACGTTCCAAGCGTGTTGACAAGTTTTGGATAGGCTGCCCACTCTCGTCACGTATAGTTTCACTAACCCCAGACCTTCTGCTGCCCGTTTCCCGTATCAGCCGGAATAATTTAAGACGGCTACCAAGGGTAGCGGCTATTTCCATCTCTGATGTACGATGAGACCACCAGGATTCGCGGTCTCTCTTCAGGCTAGCACGAAGTATTGCCCGGAGCTCTTTGCGAGTTTCAGTGTGTTCGCTTCCAGCCGGAATATACCGGCGAGCATCGATAAGTTCTAGATACCGCGAAGAGACCCAATGTCCATGTTGGCGATTAGACTTAACACATGAGGATTTTCTGCTACTAGTAAGGACTGGTGATTATGAGACCAGTGAGCTTCAACTGCATTCAGCGAGTGCTTACTCAACTCGCATGACAGCGTAATTTAATAGCCATGCAGAACAGCTGGTTTCGCCAGCTGGCTAGTGTCAATGCGTCCAGAACGTCGTCACTGGCGTCCGCCAAAACGTATCCACAGGTCAGCATATACAAGTGCATCGTCAGTGTCCATACCTGCGCTAGAAATCTAGCAACAGTTCTGGACGCAACCTCTCCACCGGTAACTTATCACAATGTGATCGGTTTGCATCCATAGCTGGTTCGAGGCTAGTGGGCGCTAAGTCACCCGCCAGCGGGTGCTGTGTCGGAAATTAGTGCTCGTAAGAAGCAACCGAGCATCTTCACACAAATGATGTAACCGCTCACCGTTATCACTACGGGAGCCTACACCATGTTGGCCGCCCAGATGCAGTTCATCAGTGGATAATTTTCCAAGTTGAGCGTTCAGATCCCTAGCCAGCACAACAGTGTCCGAGCTTCTTCTGTGGTGAAGGAGCTCATTCCATTGGCGATAGAAGTCGTCTTTTACCGAATCATCGCTAGGGTTTGTGGGTGCGTAGGCAGCGATGACGTATAGACACCTGTTAGTCCCGCGCGACTTCCAAGCTTTGAACGAGCCAACCAATCGGATCGCACACATCCGGCTACTGATGGGAATCCAGTCAACCAGAGCAATTTCAGTCCGGGGACTCAGGACGATACCAACACCGGCTTGGCCGTGCGCGAAGCCGCATCGCCACTGGATAGGCGAAATGAGAAAGTACTGCTTGCGTCACCTGAAGTGGATCGCAGAGTGTGCACAGAGCTTGAGTCTTGCAGGCAGTCTCCGATAAGCAGTAGATAGCGATCGAGACGGTCTCTAATGTTTGGGCAAGTGCTGCCTGTAGCAATTTGCGTACATTGAGGCATGTCAATTTGAAGCATGATCTAGGGCACCAAATGGAAGTCGATGAACTGGGCTTGGCCGCTTGGTTGGACATGGGCTTGTCGACAGGACAAGAATAACGCTCAGCGTTCACATGTGAGTTGAAACTGGAAAGTAGAAGCCTAGCAAAGCAAGGTAAGAAGGGTCAAAAATTGCGTGGTTGCAAATAGGGGGATAAAAGTGAAGCTGGAACGAGACCGTGAGAGAGAAATAGCGTAAGCGAGGGAATAAGAAGACAGGAAGGCCCCAGCAGTAGAATACAAACCCCTATCCACCTTGCTCGATGCAGCAGATAGGGCACCGTTGATTATCCTCTGCCGTAGCCAGAGCATCAAGAAATTGTTTAACAAAGATTCACAGTATTACATGGGCGGGATACTGTCAGGTTGTCCAGGCCTAGACAGGAGAACGATTAGGGTTCTCAAGCAAAGCCTTTGATTCAAAAACCTGACCGCAAGGCAGCGGGTTTGGCGTGGGGCTACAAGGAGTCCATTTTAAGGAATAAGGAGCCACCTCATTCCAACCTCTAACCTGGAGGACTAGGAGGCTGAAGTTGTCTGGCCTCTAACCATTGACCAATCTGGTATGAGTGGCTCTGAAGGTGCAGAAAAGCGCCACCCAGCATAGCCCAATGGATCGCTGAGGCACACATACCATCGCAACAGGGTAAGGTCCAGCCTCATTGCGATGGTCTTTCCTTTATAATGAACAATAGTGGATTATAGTAGTGAGGTGTATGAGAAATGGCTCATTGCTGGCAAGGTTTCGTTGTTGTTGAAAACAAGTGTACTGATAACGCATGTTTTATGTTGCTTTATTCCTAACTTTAATGACGGCTGCTACTGCAGTGTCCATTTTACTAAGAAGCCAGCATGCATTTTATCGATCAAAATATAGTGTAATGAAGATACATCAACTAGAGAGAAAATGGTCAACTCAGTTGTCATCAAACGCTAAGCTGTACCTTTCCTTGTTGGAACACGAAGGCAAGACGAGATACATGCAAATTAGCATGAGAAAGAATAAGCTGGACATATTTATTCCTAAGCTATTTGCTTTTGCTTCGAAAAAACAAAATTTGTTGTAGGATTGGTGGCCAAGCTAACCAATACAAGTGTAACGATGAGCATGTAAAGACATGGTTATTGGGGCTAATATAGGTAGGGTCAATTTCACCCCGAAAGACGCATCAATATGAACAAGTATTTTGCAGGAACGAACGTAAGAGAACTATGCCGTCATCACGAATACCAACGTAGACATAAATTAGTAACACTTTGGGACCGATTCGCCTATAAGGTATTGCTTGCATGGATGTACTTAGAATTCACAGCGTCTAAAAAGGGTTTAATTTGAGAGATGCATTATTAAATCAGTTAACTATCACCAATGG